CGCCCAGCCGCGGTTCGCCACCTCCCCATGGAAGGTTCGAGAACTTTCCAGCCCTTTCAATGACAGACGTCATTGCCTACCCTCCAGGATGCCCGTTACTGGGGCTGCAATAATAAGCCCCGGAATTGCCCAACACCCCAGTGTCTTCCAAAGTCGTCAGAACAGAAGCAGTAGTGCCTGTGTTCATGCAGGGGGTCCCTGAGGATGCCCAAGACTCATCGATCCAAGAGACTCGAAGCTGGAGGCTGACCCTGCGGTCACCCTGCCTCTGTTCTTCTTGCCCTGGGCGCAATTGTTGGAATTTTCCAGAATCGATTTGAGGTTGTGACTGCCACCTGGTAATTGGGATTATATAAGAGTGGGAAGTCAATGCTGTTTTCTGTATAAAGTTGGAGCTGGTCTGGCCAGGACCAGCGATGAATGTCAAAGATCCCTGGAAGGTGAACTAGAGAGTTGTGGTTTCGTTTCTTAGTTCTGCAGGAAGTCACCGTGCCTTTCAGAAACTCTTCGATGAAGGATGTTTTTCTCTTTAGAAACTGTAGTGGATGTTTGCTCTACATGCCTCCCAGCCTTTCCTGTGCTGTTGCTGTTAGGTTCCTTCTAATTCAGTACAGTTCATAGCGATCTGATGAACAGCAGATCTGAACCCGTTGTAGCCTGTGTCATCCTCACCATCTCTGACTCACTCAAGGCCATTTTTGCAGTTACTATGTTAGTTCACCTAGTTTAAGGGTCTTTTTCTCTTTAATTGACCTTCCACCTTCTCCAGCATGATGTCTGTCTCCAATGAATAGCCTTTCCTAGCATCATGCCTAAAGTTTGTAAGATGAAGCTTCATCATCTTTTGCCTTCTGGGTACACTTTCTCCAAGACATATCTGTTTATTCTTTTGGCAGTCTAGGGGGTATTCCGTACTCTCCTCCAGCACCACAGTTCAAAGGCATCAATTCTTCTGTCATCCTTATTCATTGTCCAGCTCTCAGATGCATAGTGATTGAAAAGACCGTGGCCTGAATCAGGCACACCTTATTCCTCAAACTAAGACCTTTGCCCCTCAATAATTTGAAGAAGTCCCTGACTACAGGATTTTCTAGTGCAGTGTATCTCCTAATCTCCTGACTGCTGGTACCAAGTGTATTGATTGTAGATCCAAGTAAAATGAAGTCATTGATAGTTTCAGTCTTTTCTGCATTAATCTCGATGTTGCCTATTGTTTCAATGGTAACAGTTTTTGTTTTCTTCATTTTGAGATATAATCCATACTGAAGGCTGCAATGTTTGATCTTCTGCCTCAAATACTTCAAGTGCTCACTTTTTGCAAGCAGTGTTGTGTCATCTGCATTCAGAGGTCATTGATGAATCATCCTGTAATCCTGATGTCACATTCTTCATAGATATTCATTACCATGTGATCAAGCGCCAGTGGTAATGAATAAGAAGGACAAACTGCTCTGAAGGCATTGGCAAAAAACAAGACTATAAGAATTGATGGGATACAATTGACATATTTCAGATGACAGACATAGGGCTGGATGTGCTCACCAGTCTAGACCAGAAAATTTGGAGGACATCTGCCTGGAAGAGATCATACTTGTTCCCATTCTCAGGAAAATCCAACAGAATGTGGAAATTATTGAACAATATCATCAATAATGCATGCAAGCAAAATAATGCTGAAAATCATTAAACAATGGCTAGAACAGTACATAGATAGAGAGCTTCCAGAAGTTCAAGCTGGATTTAGAAGAGGCTGTGGCCCCAGGAATATGATGGATCTTAGATGAAAGCAACGAATACCAGAAAAATATCTATTTGTTTTACTGACTATGCAAAGGCATTTGAATTTGTGGATCCTATCAAATTATGGCTAAAAGAGAAAGCTGGGAATCTCAAAACACCTAATTGTACCTATATGAAATCTATATTTAGACCAAGAAGTTGTTGTCCAAACAAGGGAACACTGCATGGTGTAAAACTGGAAAAGGTGTATGTCAGGGTTGTATCCTTTCTCCAGACCTATACAGCCTGTATGCTGAACAAATCATTTGAGAAGCTGGACTCTATAAAGAAGAATGTGGCATCAGGATTGGAAAAAAATCCATCAACAATTCATGTACCTGTGTGATGCAACCTCACTTGCTGAAAGTGAGGGAGACTTAAAGCACTGCAGAAGATCAGGCCTACCACCTTCAATACGGATTGTATCTCAACATCAAGAAGACAAAAATCCTTACCACTGGACCAGTAATCAACATCGTGATAGAGGGACGAAAGATTGAAATTGTCAGTGATTTCATCTTGCATGGATCCACTATCATCACCCTTGGTAACAGCAGTCAGGGCATTAGAAGACATACTGCATTGGCCAAGTCAGCTATCAGATACCTCTCCAAAGTACTGAGGAGCAATGAAGTCAGTTCAAAGACTATAGTGTGCCTGATTCAGGCCATGGTCCTTTCAATTATTACTGTGCATCTGGAGAGTGAGTAAGGATGACAGAAGAATTGAAGCCTGTGAGCTGTGCTGTTGGAGAGTACTGAATATCCCGGTATTGCCAAAAGAACAAACAGATACATTTTGGAGAAGGTACAGCCAGAGTGCTGCTTAGAGGCAAAGCTGAAGACCTCTCATCCTTTGGACGTGTTGCTGGGAGAGGCTGGTTTTTGGCAAGGATTATTATGCTAGGAAAGGTGGAGGAAAAGACCCTTTGCAAGATGGACTCACACAATGTCTGTAGCAATGGGTGCTAGTGTGTCAGATAATGAGGATGGTGCAGGACAGGACAGGATTCAGATCTGTTCATAGGGTGGTTGTGTGTTGTAGGCAACTCACTGGCACCTAACAACAACATTTTCCTGATTTCCTTTCCAGTTATTCCTAGTCATTTTCATGTTGGGTGTCTCATATTTTTTTAGAATCATATCTGCAAATAGAGTTTTACTTCTTCAGTCCAATCAGCTTGAACACTTTCATTTCCCCTTCAGATGCTAGAAGTCCTGGTGTTGGGTAGGAGTGGTGAGAAAGGACCTGTTTTTCTAGGCAGGGAAGTGCTTGCTCTCCTCTGTGATGAGGTTGGCCGTTGATTTAGTGTATATGTTTTAATTCTAAAATTTCCCTTCTGTTGTTACTTTACTGAGAATGTTTTTATTCAGTATTGATGTTGGCTTTTTATCAAATGCATCCTGTGGTTCTTTTGCTTGTCTCTCTTAGATTGTTAGCATACAGTGATTGCATACCTGGTATCAGTCTGACTTGTTCTTTTGATGTAATGTTGAATTCTGTTGGCTAGGGTTTTACTAAGAATTTTTGCATCTGTGTCTGTGAAGCATACTGGTCAAAGTTCTGTTTTCAGTTGTCTTTACTCGGCTTTGGTTTTACAGCTCTATTTGCTTCATAGAATGACTTCAGAAATGTTATGTCCTTTGCTTGGTTCTGAAATATTGGAATAGAATTTATATCAGTCATTCTCTGCATGTTTTATTGAATTCTCCAGTTGAAGGTGTCTGGGTCAGGACTTTTTTTTATTGGAGCTTTTTAGTAACTTGTTCAATTTCTTCTTTTGCAGTGATGCCATGTGTACCATCAAGTTGAAACCAACCCATAGCTGACCCTCCAGTAGGTTTTCAGAGGCAGTAAATCACAAGGGAGTGCCTATCCATTTCTTGCACAGCAATTGACTAGTGGATTTGAATCATGTACTTTGCATTAATAACACAATTTCTTACCATTAAACCACCTGAACTGGATCTGGTTTGAATTTTCTACCTCTGTCTGAGTTAGTTTAGATAAGCAGTATGTTTGTAAAAATTTCTTTCTTTCTCTAGGGTTAAAATTTATAGGAATAAAGTTCTTCATAGTATCCTATTACATTTCTATGGTGGTATTTCCCATTTGTGTTTCTTGCTGTTACATTAAGCAGTGGATTGTCAATGTTGTTAAGTTTTCAAAGCCTTGCTTATTCTTTGCCTTGCTTTCCTCTGTTTGTACTCTAACCTTTATTATATTCTTTCTTCAGGAAACTAGGGTTTTGTTTGCTTTGTTTTTCCAAATTGTTGGAGTTATTGGGTTAAGGTATTGATTTAAATTGTTCTTTTTTGTTTAAGTATATGCAACGATTGCTATAAATTGTCCTTTGATCTCTTGTTTTTGCTATATTCTCATTTGCTTCTAAGCAATTTCATGGTTTAATTTTCTCTGTTACTCAGTAGTTTTTCAGCAGGGTGTGTCAGGTTTCCATGTATTTAAATCTCTCCCCTCCATCATTCTAGAATTGATTTCTGACTTTATAATATGATCTGAGAAGATGGTTTGCTTTATTTCAGTGTTTTTAAGTTTATCAGGTCTTTTTGTGGCCAAGCATATGAGCATTGCTGGAAAATGTCCAGTATGTACTTTTATTGTAAAATCTTTTGTTTTCTAGAATTTTCTCACTTTGAATCAAATATTTATTTACTGTGTTTGTGGTTCTTCTGTAGCATATTTATTTTGTCTTCCTAATTTTAAAAGTTTGTTATGTCTTTGTAACATCTAAACTTCTTCTCTACTGGTAAACTCATAATTAATCAATTTGTTCCCCCCCCCTTTTTTTTTTTTTTGCTTTACAGTTATGATAGTTTACAGTTTGACTTTTCTGGTTGTCTGTTTTCAGTAAACTTATTTAACTTTTTGAGATTTTTGGACAGGACTGATTTCAAGGTGATGTATTTAAAATCACTATTTCTACACTCAGAATACGAAATTATTTATGATGTCGGTGTACACCAGAAAATAATTGATATGAGAGCTTTGATTTTAATGACCTCTTGTTATTTGGTAAATACAAATAAACTAATTGTCATTTGAAAGGAGCTATGGGACACAAAAGGATGCATGCTTATTTTTCTTTTTCTGTTTGATACCACGCAGGTGCTTCAATTTCAATTCGGGGATCCTTAGATGAAACGTACTTAAAATTACAGATTGTAAGCTGAAGAGAGACTCATTCAACAATAAGGAAAAGAATGATGTTGTCCTTAAACAACCTGCAAAATGTCATCCATAATCCGGTAACTGGCTTCTGGAAAATCACTTTTTACTTGGGACAAAGATTGAAAGCAAGTCTAGTCGAATGTAATTTCTGTAGTAGACACAGGGAGTCAAGAATAAAAATAATGTAAACATATATCACCGTCCTCCTATATGATAGGGACCATGGTGGATGCAGAGTGGAAGAACAAATGTGGCCTTGTGCTGGTGTAACGAGGCTCACACGTGGTCACAGCACAAAATGACCAGGCTCATGACCACCATGTGCGAGAGAACAGCGTGGGTGGGGGAATAGCTTGGGCAGGAGGATAGCGGCAGGTAGGCCCACTTTCGGCAAGGAGGTAGATGGAAAACAGGCTTGGATTATCTTCACACAACTGTAAAGCAATTTTCAGAGGAAAAGGGATTTATTTCTTTACCGAGATTTTGTGTTTTTGATTAAAACTGGCCTTGGAAGTTTATGTCTCAGCCCTTCCCAGGCCTTTAGACAGGTAGAATGCAAAAGCTTAAGGTAGGATTAGAGGAGGGGAAGACAGAGAAGATCCAGGATCCTGTCTAGGCCTTGGGCTGCTGCGGGAGCTCCAGAATGACCAGTGGCTGTATGTGCCAGCCTAAGTCCCGGGCAGTAAATGGCTTACCCTAGTTTTGTGTGGTGGTGAACATCTTTAAAAACATGTGTCATTGTTCTTAGGGCCCTGAATAAAGATCTGAGCTAAGGCAATTGCTTTTTTTGAGTAAACTTGTTAGAGACTCTTGGCCAGTAGAAAGGGTGGGGAATTCTTGAAGTAGTTGACTTATTAGGTATGTGAACCATTTTTATTATTTACTTTGTAGCTGTAATTCTTTCCCTATTCTTGTACATAATATAAATGTCATTAAGGATAAGGTAAAGGCACTATGTCAAGCAAAATCATGCTCAAAGAGATCCTCTTCAATAGGTTGTTGTTGTTTTTGTTGAGTACTGTAGAATGTTAAATGATCCAGGAGGTATCAAAAGAAGATGGAAGGAATATACTGAGTCATTGTACCTAAAGGAATTGGCAGATACGGAAGAATTTAATGAAATAGATTTGAGTCAGAGCCTATGGTGATGAAGGCAGAAGTTCAAGCTGCTTTGAAGGAAATAGCAAAAAATAAGGCCCCCAGAATAGATGGTATACCAGTTGACATATTTCAGCTAACAGATGCTGCCGTGGATTTGCTCACCAAGTTGTGCCAAGAAATCTGGAGAACAACCACTTGGCCAACTGACTGGAAGAGGTCTATATTTGTTCCCATCCCAAAGAAGGGCGACCCAACTGAGTGTGGAAAGTACAGAACAATATCATTGATTTCACATTCAAGGAAGATTCTACTGAAGATTATCCAAAATCGACTGGAACAGTACATCAGCAGAGAACTGCCAGAAGTCCAGGCTGGGTTTAGAAGGGGTCGTGGTACTAGGGATATTGTAGCTGATGTTAGATGGCTCTTAGCTGAAAGCAGAGAATACCAGAAGAATGTCTTTCTGTGTTTCATTGATTATGCAAAGGCATTTGACTGCGTGGATCATAACAAACTGGCTGACTCTGAGAAGAATGGGAATCCCAGAACATTTAATCGTGCTAATGCGAAACCTATACTTGGACCAAGAGGCAGTCGTCAAAACAGAGCAGGGCAACACTGCATGGTTCAAAATTGGGAAGGGTGTACGTCAGGGATGTGTCCTGTCTCCATACCTTTTCAACCTGTATGCAGAGCAGATTATCCGAGAGGCTGGGCTCTATGAGGAGAGGTGTGGCATTAGGATTGGTGGACGATCTATCAACAATCTGCGTTATGCAGATGACACAACCTTGCTCGCTGAAACTGAGGAGGACCTCATGCACTTACTGCAGAGGGTCAAGGACTGCAGCCTTCAATATGGACTGAGGCTCAGTGTCCAGAAGACAAAAATTCTCACCACTGGACCAATCGGTAGCATCAGGATGGATGGCGAAGAGATTGAGATTGTTCACAGCTTCAGTTTGCTTGGCTCCACAGTCAACACTCTTGGCACCAGTAGCCAGGAAATCAAAAAATGTATTTCGATGGGAAAGTCTGCGGTTAAGGACCTCTCCAAAATACTCAAGAGCAACAGTGTCTCTGGAGACTAAGGTCCGCCTGATATGGGCCATAGTTTTTGCAATCACTTGGTATGCATCAGAGAGTTGGACAATGACTAGGGAGGATAGAAGGAGAATTGACGCCTTTGAGCTGTGGTGCTGGAGAAGAGTATTGAATGTACCATGGACTGCCAAGAAAACAAACAGATTCATCATAGAGAGGATTAAACCAGGCTGCTCCTTGGAGGCAAGGATTCTAGGGCTTTGTCTGACATACTTTCGACATGTTGTAAGGAGAGACAGGTCTTTAGAGAGGGACATCATGCTGGGTAGAGTGGAGGGACAGCGCAGGAGGGGAAGACCCTCTATGAGGTGGATTGATTCAGTGACTGGGGTACTTGGGATGGGTGTGTCAGAGGCAATGAGATTGACACAGGATAGAGCACGGTTTAGGGCTGTTGTACATAGGGTCGCTATGAGTCACAAACGACTTGACGGCACATAACAACAACAACAACAACAACAACAACAACAAATGTAGAATTGGAACTGACCCATAGCTGACCCTCCAGTGGGTTTTCAGAGGCAGTTAATTGGACAGGAGGAGATTGCACATCCTTCTGGTGTGGAGCATCTCGTGGCCTCAAATAGCATGCCTTGGGGATTACAGTGCAGCTTCTTGCCAGTAGGCCACCAGAACTCCATCTTCAATAAGTAGTGAGTTTAAAAATGAATACTTAATGAGTTTGAAGTAGGTGGGGCAATTAAAATTGATTTTGTGTGTCTCATTAAAACTATCTCAAGGTTGTAGGCTTAACTTTCTGCAAAAATAAAAAATAAAAATATTACCTGCCAGGCAGATGGATGTATGGCCAACTTACAGTGGTCAGTTTTGCCCTTCTTGAGCAAAGACTCTTTAGCTGCATACTGCTGAGGAGGCAATTTTAAATGTGATATATACCTGGGAGACTGGGTTGTATGAGGAAGAATGTGGCATCTAGATTGGAGGAAGAATCATCAATAACCTGAGTTATGCAGATGACACAACCCTGCTTGCTGAAACTGAGTAGGACCTGAAGCGCTTGAAGGACTGTAGGCTTCAGTATGGATTGAAGTTCAACATCAAGAAAACAGATTCTCACCACTGGGCCAATTGGCAGCATCATTATGGATGGTAAAAAGATTGAGATTGTTAATAGCTTTAGTTTGCTTGGCTCTACAATCAACACTAATCGTACCAGCAGCCAGAAAATCAGGAGATGAATTGCATTGGCAAAGTGTGCTGTCAGGAACCTCTGCAGAGTACTGAAAAGCAGCGACATCAGTCTGGAGGCAAAGGTGCGCCCAATCTAGGCCATAGTCTTCACAGTTGCTTGCTATGCATCAGAGAGCTGGATAGTGACTAGGGATGATAGAAAGAGAATTGCTACTTTGAGCTGTGGTGCTGGAGAAGAGTATTGAATATACCATGGACTGCCAGGAGAACAACTGGTTCGTCCTAGAGAGCATGAAACCAGGGTGCTCCTTGGAGGCAAGGATTCTGAAGCTCCGTCTGACATACTTTGGACATGTTGCAAGGAGGGACTGGTCCTTGGAGAGGACCATCATGCTTGGGAGGGTGGAGGGACAGTGTAAGAGAGGAAGATCCTCAGTGAGGTGGATTGATACAGTGACTGGGTAAATGGAGTCAGTGTGTCAGAGACAGTAAAGTTGGCACAGGATAGAGCAGGTTTCAGGGCTGTTGTACATAGGATTGC